CTGTCCCCCTGATCACTGCTGTGTTCGTCTGATGTTCTCTCAGCTGCGCCCCCGTGTCGTTTTCCAAGATCATCACCCCTGAGGGGCGCACCTCCTTGACTTTCCAGCGGACCGTCCCCAATCCCACGTCAAGGGTGTCCTGTTTGGCTCTCTTCAGGTAAACTTCCTGTCCTTCGCAGACGCCCCTTGCTGCTCTATCCTCCCCTTTGTGTTGCCTTTGCTCGTATCTCCTGGCGTCTCTGAGCTGTGCGGTGTGCAGGTTCTCCAGCGCGGCTGGCATCATGCAGCGCATGTAGCGCGCTCTCACATCGGACAGGGCTACCTAGTTCTTGATCGTGCCCGCTGTCACTGTGTCTGTTAATACCCGTGGTGCCCCCACCGGCAGGATCGGCTCTCGTCTGAATAGCAGACTATATGGGGAATGATCCTTCAATGCTGCCTGTTTCCCGAACCTGTACCCTGCTGCTATCCAGTCCAATTCCTCATCCCAATCCCTCTTCCGCTGCTCCCCATAGGCCCGTAGTCCTCGCTTGAAGGTTTGCACGGCTCGCTCAGTCAGCCCGTCGCTCTGCGGGTGATAGCGGGAGGTCCTTTGGTGCGTGATGCCAGACTCCGCCAGCAACTTCTTGAACTCCCCTTGGAACTCTGTTCCCTGATCTGTGAGCACCTCCCCACACGCTCCAAATCGGCACACCACCTGCGCCTTGAAGGCTGCTGCAATGTGCCTCGCGCTCTTGCTTGGGATGGCTCGCACCTCCAGCCACTTGCTCACATATTCCACCATGAACACTATATACTGATTCCCGCTCCTACTCAGCGGCAGCTCTCCTGCGAGATCCAAGGACCATCGGAACCCTAGCCCGCAGATTGGCAGTGAGTGCAGCTCTGCTTTGGCCTGCGTCAGGTTTGCCTTGCTCCTCTGACACGCCTCGCACCCCTCCACCCACTCTTTCACTTGTCTGCGCATCCCTTCCCACCACCAGCCCGTCTTTAGCAGGTGTACGGTCCTCTCGTGCCCAAAGTGCCCCAGCTTACTGTGCACTTCCTTGATCACTGCTTCACGGTCCTGGGGCGCAGGCACCAGCTTCCAGCCATCCTCCGTCTTGATCTGCACCTGCTGCTGATACCACCTGTAATGGTGCCCTCGTGCCCTCACCCGCTCAGGCACTGTCTCATCTTCCTCGGTTTCTCCCTGCACCCATTCCATTGCCTTTGCATCCAGCCAGATGTCAGCTGGCCCCTTACTCCCTTTAGCACCTGTCTGCTCCACCTCTCTTGCCAGTAAGATCAAGGTCTGCGCTGGCTCCTGCTCTGCCTCGTCAGTCCCCTGTGTTGTCTGTGTCGTTTCCAGCGGCGGTGGGTTGCGGGAGAGGCCATCAACGTGCTGTAGCGTCTTCCCTGGCCTGTGCCTGATCTTGAAATCATATTCCTGCAGCTTCACTGCCCACCGCGCGTTCCTCCCTGTCAGCCCTGGTGTGGTCATCAGCCATGTGAGGGGCTGATGATCAGTGACTAGGGTGAATTCTCGGCCCTGCAGGTATATCCGGAAATGCCCGACGGCCCACACTGCCGCCAGACCCTCCCCGATGTATGAGCTGTACTGTGCTTCCGCTGGGTTGCAGCTCCTGCTGGCATAGGCCACCACCTTCTCCACTCCCTCCACCTCCTGGCACAGTATTTCCCCCATCCCTTGGCTGCTCCAGTCGGTGTACAGGATGAAGGGCTGGTCTGCTGCTGGCAGCCGCAGCACTGTCGCTGTCTTCACGGCTGTCATGAGGTCTTGCAGCGCTCCTCTCTGCATCTCTCCCCACTCCCATGCCTTGTCATCGCGCAGGATCCCATTCAGTACCGTCGCTCGCTTGCTGAAGTTCGGTACGAAGCGCCTGTAGTAGCTGAGGAAGCCCAAGACCGCACGCAGTCCTGATTTGTCTCGCGGTTCCCTTAGCCTGTCCAGCACTTGCACCTTCGCTTGCTGGATCCCAATCTGCCCCCCTGTGACCTCGTACCCCAGGTACTGCACTGTCCGCTCCCCCCACCTGCATTTGTTGGGATGGCACGTGAGCCCTGCCCCTTCTATGGCAGTCAGTGTCTTCTCCACATCCTCCAGGTGCTGCTGCTCGGTCAAGCTGAAGATCACGACATCATCGATATAGCACGCCGCATGTTCTATTCCCCGTAGCACCGCGTCCATAACTCTCTGGAACACCGCCGAGGCGTTCCTCAGACCGAAGGGCATGTACAGCCACTCGTACAGCCCATCCGGTCCGTGGAAGGCCGTTTTCTTCACGTCCTCCTCTCTGATCTTGATTTGATTGAACCCCTGTCACAGGTCCAGCGTTGTGAAGAACACCCCGTCAGCCAACTTGTCAAAGAGCTCTTCTGCCATCGGCATTGGGTATCCATATGGCACTGTAACTTTGTTGAGATCCCTGTAATCCCCGCACATCCTCCTACTCAGCACCTCGCCTGTCAAGTCCTTCCGGGCTGCCACCACGGTTGGGGTGGCGTACTCGGACTCTGACCTCCTAATCAGTCCGGCTTCCAGTAACTCCTTTATCTTCTCCCTGCAGATCGCTTCATCCCCTGGTGGCATCTTCCTCCTGCGGTGGAACACCGGCTCATCACTATTCAGCTTCAGCGCCATCTCTTTGATCTTGCACTTCCCCAACTCCAGCAAGGTGAAGGCAAAGCCCTTCCTATGCTTCGCCAGTAGTGCCCGCATTGCTGCCCTCCCTTCCTCGCTCATGCTCTCACCTATCTTCCACTCTGGCTCCTGTTTCTGCAGGCAGGCCCACACCCCTTGCCTAACCGTCGCCACTGTGTTTTCTCCCTCCTTCAATCCCCAGTGCAGCACTGTCTCTCTCCACATCCGCTGCACCAACCACCTCATCATGTACCCGTCCATTGCATTCCCCGTTGCCCGCCTCCGTTCCTGTTCACTCACGCCAGGGGCTGCTGTAGCGTTCTCCTTGTACCCCATGGCCAGCTCCCTCTCCAAGGCCGTGGGCTCCTCCCACCGTCCCTTCCTGTGGTCAAGCACTAATCCTGGGCCTGGCTGCTTCCCGTCCATCCGATATCCTGCTGCCCCCTCATATGACACCAGCGTAGGTAGTGCTTGCCTCTCCTGCCCCACCTGGTTGCATGGATAATGTCGGCTGTAGCTCCTCTTGTTCACTGGTGCTGGCGTTCTTCCTGGCTCCAGTATATCGCTCAGCTTCCGCCCCCCTGCTCTCTGCACCCCTTCTATCTCCTTCTGCAGGTCTTCCACTGGCACCACATTCTGCCAGTACATCCTGAGCCTGTGTGCATATGCTCCCATCCGCGCCGCGTCACTGCTCACCCCCTTCCCCACCTGTCTGGTCACTCGCTCCCTTACCAGTCTTATTGGTTCTCGCACATCTCCTTCCATATCTAAGTGCTCCAGCAGGTAAGCCACTCTGCCTTGCCTAGCCTGCATCCACTCCATGACTCTGAACAGATCCTCCATCAGTTGTGTTCGTAGGTCTTGCTCACCCTTGCCCTTCCCTGCCCATGATACCCCTTGGCATTCCCACCCAGCCACCAACAGGTCCACGTGCCCCCAGCTTGCCACCTCAGCTTCCGTAATGGCCCTTACGTCATTCACTCCTCTGCTCATTGCTGTCTTGATCACCTCTCCCTTCAGCAGTTCCGGGAACTCTCTGTGCAACTCCCACGCATGATGCTCCGCCATTTTCCTTACTTCTGGTGCCTTCTCCACGTAAATCCACTGCTTCACTGCAATCCCATTCCGCACCACTGCTGCCAGTCCCGCCCCTATTCCTCCGAACAGTTCCACCAGCCGGATAGGTTGCTGCCAATCGGTCTGCTGGCTAGGCTCGTCCATGAAGCGCATCCTGGGCTCTCCACACTGTCCCTTGCCTGTCGTGCTCTCCTGTGCCCCCTGTTTCGATGTCATCTCCTTCAGACCTGCCCTGTAAGCCCTTTTTGGCTCTGTCCTGACAAACTGCACAGGCAGCTGCCCTAGTGGCTCACCCTTCCTCCACCACCTGGTTCTGAACTCCACTGTCTCCTTCCAAAAGCAGATGGTCATGCCCAATGCAAAAATCATCTCCGTGCCCACCAGGACGTCAAAATCTTCAGATTCTGAGATCCCGCACCTGATCCTAACCGGCGTTTCGTGTTTCTCCCCCTTCAGCACCGTCAGTTCTATTGGAGTCCTTGTACACGGCATCCACTTCGACTCTCCTCCCTCTGCCGTCATCACTAGCATCCCCTCCACTACATGCCTGTCTGGTGCCCACAGTCCCAGCTTCTCGGCCATCCCCTTCCCTAGTATCACGCTCTGCGCGCCAGTGTCTATAATAGCCGTCTTGGCCTTCTCCCCTTCTACAGCCAACGCGCCACCTTGGATCAGCAGCACGGAAGTCTGGCAAGCCAACCTCTCCTGGGGGTGCCGTGCCGCTATGCATCTTTCTTCCCTCTCTTCCGGTTTCTGTCCTCTCTCCCGTTCCTTTCTCACCTGCTCCTTCCGTGCATCCTTTCATCCGCTGCGCAGCCCCATCTCCTCCCTTCCTCTCCATGCCATATATGCTGGTTGCTCCTCGTGTTCCATCTCATTCTCTGCTCTTCCTGCCCAGATCATGAACGCGGCTTCCTCATCCTGCTCCACATCTTCCTCCTTTTCCTCCTTAGCGTACATCCCCGCTTCTGCTTCGCGTCGTGGTCCCATCGCCTGCAGCTGGGCTTGTAGCCTGCTAATCTGCCTCTCCAGGTCTTCTGGTGTCTTTTTCGCCGCTCCCTCTCGCTGGTAACACTCTTTCGCTGCATGCCCTCCCTTCCCACAGACTTCACACTTTGGCGCTGTTGGGCACTCCCGCCGCCGATGCCCTGGCTTGCCACAAGAGTCACAGTTCTTGCAGTCTCTGCGTAAGTGTCCTGGCTGCCCGCACCTGTGGCACGTCCGAGTGTCAGGCCTGGTCTCCCCTCTTCCCGCAGCCCTGTCCCTCTCTTCCGGTATCATGGCTGCAGCCCACGTAGGTCCCCTGCCTCGTTCTGCTGGTCGAGGCCTGTATGCTTCATACTTCCTCTGTGCCAGCTCCATCTTCTCTGCCATCTCAAACACCTCCTCTAGCGTCGTGTCAGCCCCCATCTCGTACACTTTCATCCGCAGCCCGCTCCCTAAAGCGCCCTCCAGCCCGTCCAGAAACTTGCTCACGAGCAGGCCCATATCTGCGCAAGTCACATCCTCCGCCAGGTTGACCAGCCGGTTGTAGTAGGTGAGTAGTGACTCGCCCCGCCCCTTCCTGAAATCTTGGAACTCCCTTATCTTCTCTGCGGTGTGGCCTGGGAACTGCCGCTTCAGCCGCCTCAGGAATTCTTCCGTTGGGTCGTCCCCATACCTCCGTGCCCTCTCCAGTAGCTCATCCATCTTCATCCTGTACAGTGTCTCTGCCTCCCCCTCCAGCGTGTTTGGCAGACTCAGAAAGAAGTCTACTGCGTCCATGCCGCTCCTCTCGCATCTGTACCGCACATTGCCCACTTGCATCAGGTAATTCTTCAGCGTGGGCCCCAGACGCTGATCCCCTGAGAAGCGTGCTGACACTTCCACTCTCGTGACCATTGCTGTGCTTCCCCTACCTTCTCCCCAGGCCTCACTCGGCCCTCCTGCTGATCTGCCAGATGCTCCCTTCTCTCTCGCCCGCAGTATCCCTTCCCTTGCCTCTCTGGCTCGCTCCAGGCTGTGCATCAGCCCGCTGCCCCCCTCTCTGCTGTCGCGTTGATCCCATCCTCCCTCACCGTCACGTCTTCCATCACGTTGCCCATACCGGCCAGGCGAGCGAGACCCACCGCCGCGCCTTTCATTCTCGCTCTGTTGCTTGTGCTGCGAGCGGTATCCGCCTCCCCTGTTTCCTTCATGCCGCAGGTGCCGTTCGGGCGAGCGGTAGCCGCCTCTGCGCCTCTCCTCTCGAGAGTCATACGGATCTGGTGAGCGCGAATCCCCTCCGCTTCTCCAGTCGTGATACTTCCGAGGATCTGGCGAGCGCGCGTTGCCTCCGCGCCCACTTTCCCTGTGCTGTCGCGGCTCTGGCGAGCAGTGGCCGCCTCCTCGCCTCTCCTCACGCAGCGGCCGCAATTCTGGCGAGCGGTAACCGCTTCCTCGCCTCTCGTCATGCTGCCGCCGTGGCTCTGGTGAGCGCACGCCGCCACCGCGCTCCCCGTCACGGTTCTGCCGCTGATCTGGCGAGCGCGCGCCGCCACCACGTCTCCCATCACGATTCAGCCGCGGATCTGGCGAGCGCGCACTGCCTCCTCGTCTCCCGTCACGATACAGCCGCGGATCTGGCGAGCGTGCACCGCCGCCGCGTCCCCCGTCACGATGCAGCCGCGGATCTGGCGAGCGCGCACCACCGCCGCGTCCCTTTTCGGGATACAGCCGCGGATCTGGCGAGCGCGCACCGCCTCCGCATCCTCCGTCACGATTCAGCCGCGAATCCGGCGAGCGCACGCCGCCGCTGCGACTCTCGCCCCTTTGTTGACGCGGATCTGGAGAGCGCGAGCCACTGCCACGCTTCCCGCCGTCACCCTTCTCTCCGCCGCGCGGCTGGTCTCGAGTACTGCCCTTTTCGTCCGCCTCCGCCGCACTTGTCTCCACCGCCACGCCCGCCTGCACGGGATCGTCGTCGTTGACTCCAGCGGGCATTTCGCGCTGCTCGCCTGCGCCTTCCTTCTGGGATTCGTCATCGCCCTTGGCCTCGCCTTCGCGATCCGTCTCCCGCACTTGATTCGCCGTATCGGCCTCGTCTTCACCATCCACATCAAGATTGCCCTGGCGACCCGAGAAGAGCTCCTCCAGGCCTCGCCCGCGACTCCGATCTTCGCGACGGCGATAACCTTCCTCCGGCGAGCGGTAAGCTCCCGTGTCCTGGCGGTACTCATGGCCGCCATCGGCTCCGCGGCGTCCGTCCGTCCGCCACGGGTCGCTTCCCATCATGGCAGATCCAGATCCGCCCCTCCCTTCTCGAGCGGATCCTCCCTCCTGGCGATCTGGCGCAAGAGGGACCTGATCCGCGCGAAAGGCCGGCCTCCGCGGCGATCGCTCAGGCCGCCGCGGCGACCTCTCCAACGAACGCCCGCGTTCACGTGAGCGTTCGCGCCGCGAGCGCTCCTACTCACTGCGACCGTAGTTCCTGCCGTAACACAGCTCGTACACATCCATGCTTGTACGCGCACCCTTTCCGTTTGTTATGAAAGAGATGTAACTCTCACCTCAAGGGTCCTCCCTGAGTGGTGTGTCACCTGTCTGGAAAGCTTAGGCAACAACAGTCCAATATACGAAAGGATAACAAACGGAAAGCACCAGGTGTGTGTGTGGGAGTGAATTTACCTGGCCCAGGCTCGAACCGTGCATTTCTCAATGTGCGGCTCGAGCCTGGGTTGGGTTCGTTCACATTGGTTGCGTGGATTTCACCCCTCGGTGCTCTCCTACCAACTTCGCGTCAATTTCCCAGCTCCCACCTACCTATCCTTGAACCTGCATACAACACATAACTACACCCGCACTACACCACAACATTACTGGCACCTTATATGCACAACCGTGCATATTCGGTGACCAATGGGAGGAATGAGGACAAATGGAGGAATGATGCAAATAGTGGTGTGAAGGGAGCAAGAGAGGGACACAACAAGCATGCAAATAGTTTGAGGTTCTGGGACGGTAAAGCAAATTCAGAAATATGGCCGTAGTTTTCAACCTTGATTTGGTTGGTTCGACTATGCTCACAACTTCGATCGAGTTTGACCTGAACCAGTTCAAGTTTGGTACTTGGACACGCCTACTTACAGTTGCTGCAGGTTTGACAGGATGCCAATTGTGGTAGGGATTGTTATCACGATATCTGAATCAGTTAACACAAATAGAACCTTGTCAGGAATAGCATGAAGAAGATAAATTGTGGAGAGAAAATGGGAAGAAACGGAAGCACAGGCTAGCAATGGCCTTGCAGGGAGGTGTACAGGTATCCCATGTCTGCAAGGTTGCTGATTTCAGATGGAATTGAGCCAGGTATCATGGTTCAACATTTTGACTCGCTTACCTACTTGCTCTCTGAGGACACATCTATGGTTCACCAAACTTATCAAAAGGCAACGTAGAAAATTCTTCAGTGGGCTCCTTTTACGTATTACTTTCCAGCGGCCTTTCCTGCATTTCTCCTCCCAGTTCCCCTCGCTATCCCAGAGAACCCCTCAGCGCTATCAGTGTGTACTCTTTGTGCCCTTTTCGCCTTCACCCTCTCATCCACCAGCGAGTCTCCTAGCTTCTACCCCACAATCTCTGCGCCAATCTGCACGCTTTACAGCCCCTTTCTCCACACTCTCAGGCCTTGTGCGCCCTAAAATGAGCCTTGTGCCTCCCTCAGATAATCCCTGTGCACCCTCTCTTCCTGCATCTGCTATAGCTGGTTGCTGGTTGGTGTTTCCTCTGCATCCCTCCTCCTCAGTTTCCTCCGGACAGCTGCTCACCAGCCTTACCCTCACCGACATTCCTCCTCCTCGTACTTCTGCCTCCATCCGCCCTGTTGCCATCTCCTGCTCCTCATGGCTCCGGCCACTCCTGCTGCCCGTCATCGTCTCCACGCTCACCGTTGGTTCTCATTCGCTTATGATATGAGCGCCCATGGCGGCCTAACTGCCTGCAGTAGCCGATGATCCACATTTGCAAGACTTTACGACTGCTTGTTGCCTCCTCTCTCAAGTCTTCAATCCCCCTTCCCCATAGAGCTATTCTCTTCTTCATGCCGCCAGTTCGACCAGGTTCAAACCGAGACGGTTCAGGTTCAGTACTTGCTCATGCCTACTTACAGGTCCTTTAGGTTTGTAAGTATGTCTATTGTAGTAGGGATTAAGCGAGTGAGCTGATACTTGTGAAGAGATATGCGACGATGAACAAGAATGAGCATGCATGAGGTACATAGATTAAGATCATACAAAAATGATCTGGGATAGAAGACAATAACTCCAGTGGGAGGCAGAAATCTCGAAAGTGTAACAGATGCATGATGAAAGGCTGCACCCTGGACTTTGACCGTGAGATGTGTGCTAACAATGGCGGTGGATAGACGCGTTCTTTCCCTGCCCCAAGGCACGTCATAAATTGCACAAGAAACTGAGCAGAGGAAAGGGAATAAGAGTGGCAAAGGCAAGATACTGTTAAAAGGAAGAAGGCTGTGCAGAAAGGGTAGGCCTGAGCAAAGGTTCAGGTTGGGTCAAGTCGACCCACAGTTGTTTCCTGAGGGCCTCTTTGTTAGTCACCCGATTTGAGAGGAAGCAGCTCCACCAAATTGATGCGGCCATGATATGGCAACAGAGGGAAAGTTGGACCTCACATTCCACACTTCCAGCAACAAGGCAGTAGCCACGTGTGTTGAGCACTGAGTTTGCTTTGGAACATACTTCTGGCAACCGCACTTGGACCAGTTTGAGCTGAACTGCACTATAGCCCATTAAGGCTCGAACTTGAGGGCATGAACATCTATCTGTAAGCTGTTCAGGGTTGTTCAACCCGAACCAACTAGTTTGGTTCCTTCAACTATGCCCACGACTTGAAACAGGTTTGATCCTAACCAGTTCGGCTTCGGTACTTGCTTTGCTCATGTCCACTTACAGTCGCTGCAGGAACAACATGCGATTCCAAACGGACTCTCCTGCTCAAGACAACACCCGCTGAAGCACCGACTTGGTCGTACCCTGAGGAAATAGACCTTGAGCGCCCTGCTTTGGACGGACTTCTTTGCATGCGCGCCGTCCCAACTGCTTCAACCTCTACTCCCTGCGATACCGGAGCTGCAACAGTAGAAGAGGAAGGAGACAGTAGGAGGTTAGCAACCGCAGGACAATCTGACACTGGAGGATGGGAAGTAACCGGACCAGTCTCACCAAGCTGGGTCAATCCCAGCCCTATCTTCGGCGCATAAGGAGTTGTTCAAACACCGGAAGAAGAAGGCACTGCTGGAGGAGGCTGGGGAACCTCGACTCCCGAAGGTAGATGGGGAAGCGGCTGGGGACCGTCAAACCCTCCTTATCCCGAAGCTCAACCCCTCCTTCCTACGGACGTAGCGGCATTCGATCCTTACTGGGCAACACGCGGCACTAGTTGGGGCGAACCTCCTCTTCCTAACCAGTATGCTCCTGGCACACCAGAGGAAGTACAAGAGCAGTCAGAAGAAATGACCTATGAGTACGGAGGAGCAGTGGAATTACCCGAACCTACCAAGGAAGCACTGTCACCGGAACAATGGCCGCAGCTGATCCCGGTCTCTGGTGATGAATACCTCTCTCATCGTGTTCCTATGGACGGACTTCCAGCTTCTGAATGGCTTGAGGCGGCACAACTCCCGCGACCACTTGTCACCGGCGATCCGGTTCATACAGCCGACATGGACGACATCGCCGGAAGTTCCGACGCTGTCCTGGAGCGAGTCTCCTCTCGAGCCTTTGCAACAGACGTGAGCGCCGCCACCGACAAAGGACCTGAAACGGAGCAGAAGGATGAAGTGGAGAGAAACAAATACTATCTGAAGACCGTCGGTTACTGTGCAGAACAAGAAATTTGGCCTCAACGACTCGGACACACCTCACATGTCACACTCAAAAACTCCATCAAGGTCGGAGTCTTCGACCCAAATGCGCTGCTGCTTCCCAGAGGTGGCTCCCTCACAGCAACTTCAGACAACCCACCGTGCATCATCTGCCCTACTGCGTCACTCGCTCACAAGTCTTTTTCCCCGACCTACCTCCTAGCTACAAACGCTACCAACAATTTGAAAAGGTCTACAGCGACTTCATGATTCTTAGCCAAGATGGGCTTGACAGCGAAAAATACACGCTAACCTTCATTGACACCTGCACACGCTATGTCTGGGCTGTCAACACGAACTGCTACTCTTTTGCCTTCGAGTGCTTCATAGCTTGGATGAAGCACGAAGAACGTCAATTAGGACTGAAGCTGAAAAGCTTCCAGACGGACGGAGGAGCGGATTTTTTCTCAACTAAGTTCAAGAAACTCTTCACCAAGAAGGGGATCGAGCACCTGGTGTCCCTGCCCTACGCTCACGAGCAGCAAGGTGTAGCAGAACGGACAAACAAGAGCCTCGCCGCAAGGATGAGGGCCCTGGTAAAGCAGTCTGCCATCCCAATGAGGTATTGGCCATTCGCGATGAACCACGCTGTTTGGTTGCACAACTTACTGTCCAAAATAGTAAAAGTAAAGAATTTTAAGAGAGTACAAAGTCTCTGCAAGAATGAAAGAACAAATCTAATCTCAATTTTATCTTCAATATTCTTTATCTTTACTTTTCTCTAAGTATGTTATGAACCCTCTCGAAGCCTCGAGAACAAACAACTCACCTTACAAGGCCTGGACGGGCAGAAAAGCGGACGCGCGTCTGCTTAGGGTGTTCGGCTGCATGGTACAGCACAGGCCACACATAGCAAGGACAGGAAAGTTCGATGATCCGGAACGCTGGAGCATTCACCTCGGGATCGAAAAAGAATACAAGGCGTGGATTGTATTGGACTACGCGACACACAAAGTGACGAGATCACGTGACTGCATCTTTTATGAGAACCTGACTTTACCACTGTACAAAGACCACCACGAAGCTGAAAAGGCACCAGAATAAAGGGTT